AGTGAAGTGGGTGAAGATCATGGAGGCTTGCGGTGTAGTATGTACAATTGTATGGAACAACAGTTATTTACAATAGTACTGAAACAATAATAATATGACAAGAAATATGATTTGGATAACCAGAATATAAAGTACCTGATCGAGAGTTGTGTGTTATTGGAAGGAACACAGGTAAAATTAAAGAAGGAAAATTAAAATACAATAAAGAGAATAAGAAAAACCAGTCAAACAATGCAATTAAACAAATAAAATGAGGAAAACTAAACATAAGGAAGAGAAATTTTAAAAATACTAATAAAAGTAAAAATAATGAAACATAAATAATAAAATTCCAGCTCTATGGGATAGCAAAGTGACATTTGTCTCAATTTCTCAGTTTTGGGGTTTAGCCTTGGGCTCCTCCTTTTGATCTGTCTCTGTACCCTCCATAATTCCCATGTCTTATTGTCTCTCTTGGGGGAAGGAAAAAAGGATCCAGAAAGAAAGGGGGGGGGGATAAGCCTCCTGCTGGCTTTAAACCTGTTCAGCAACTTCTTTTGGTCTTAGATGCCACTGGAATAGAGGGGCTGGGTTTAGCTTTTCTCCCTTCCTGTGGTTTTGAGGGGTTGGGAACCCGGTCTGGGTCACAATATTCATAGTTTTCTGACCACCAGCCCAGGTCCTCTGTGAGCTGCTGGCTCAAATCAGCCACTCAGTCTCTGGGTGCACAGCATGAGTCAATGTCAGACTTGGAGCCCAAGACAAGCCAGGTGCACAGTTCTGCTTAGCCCCTCACTCTGGGAGCGTGCAGCTGAAATCACCCTTGGGCCAAGCCAGCCTGAAACCGGAAAAGACAAAGGCATTTGTGCTGCCTGTCACTACCAAACCCCATAAGCAATGACACTGGTTCAATCTTCATGGGCACTTTATTCAGATGGCCTGTGATGAGAAGATGGCAGGTTCATATCCTAATAGACCACTTTCGTTTCTCTTTCCAGGCCAGACTTTTTTATACCAGGGAATAAACAAGGTGCAGTGAGGGCTTTGAGATTCAGGGAGGACTGGGTGAAGGAAGCTGCAACATTCCTGTCCTGGGCAGTTAGCTGTTCCCAAGGGCGGGCAGTAGTCTCTCCCTGGAACACAAAGGCCAAATCCTTCTGGGCAGTCATCTTTAGCAGTGCCCCAGGTGGTCAGCTGTTTTCCCAGGAGCCAGGACGGGCCTTATCCGTAGTTTCTGAAATAAAAGCTTTAACATACACATTACTTGCTAGGCTTATAACTTTTTAACTTGAACTGAAGTTTTCCAACTCTTGAGTCCCCTATCAAGCCACTGCTAGAGAGTTCCTTACAAAGCGCCTGCCTGACGTCTGTTTCTGTAGTGTAGCACTCATCACGTTCGCCTAACAAAGCACCTGCCCGCCATTCTTAACAAGTGCATGGCTTTTCACACAGCCCACCTTTCCAACCTGTCCAGAGACTATCCAAATCAGGGTCCGACATGGCCCAACTCCTCCCTTCTCAAGGTGTCACCTGGCACCCCAATTTCTCTGGTGCCAGGTCCACAGTCCCAGTGGATATGTACCACCTCTGTGTGTCTCCAACTTCGTCTATTCCCCCAGCAACTTCCAGCACCCAGGTACTGCGCTGCCCTCTTTGCTCTGGTAGTGAAGGGGGCTGGTGATCTAACTCCTCCCTGTATTCTGTAGGCAGACACCCGGCCAGGGGTGGCAGCAGCCCTGATCTCAGCGTAGATCCCAGGGACCTTACCATCCCAGTGCACTCTCCTCATCATCATCTGAGTTTTTCAATGTCCTCTGCAATTATTTTTCCACCAAAGTACATATAAGCCAGGATTCCATTGGTCACTCTGTGCCTCAGAAGATCGGCTAGGTGTTCCAGCTGGGCACAGGGAGAACTGGACTCTGCTCCCACCTACCTCACCACCATCTTCCTGTATCCTCAAATATTCTTATGAATGGCTTAGGAAAATTTACCAAATTTGAAGATAACAAACCTAGGAGAACCACTAATTTACAGGTAAGGAAATTAGAATTCTAAAAGGTAAGGAAATTAGAATTCTTATTTTTTATTCAAGTACTGTTGTCTCCATTTTCCCATCACCACCCCCCTCTGCCACACCCTTGATCCTGCCTCCCTTTGGCATGTCCATATGTGCTTTATACATGTTCCTTATTGACTCTCCCCCCTTTTTCCCCGTTATCCCCTCTTCCAGAATTCTAAAAGGTTTTGACAAGCTGAAACACTCTCTGGAAATGAATAGGATAGAAATTTATGAAGAATAAATGAGTAACAGGTTTCTAAAATATTAAGCATAGAATACTTATTTTATGCTGAGTACCTGACATACATTACATGCAGCATGTTTACCAGATTAGTGATGTTATTACAATTTAGACATGGAGAAAGTAAAATTTGGAGAAATAATGTAAGTATATTAAGACCAGAATATAGTAAATTGAATGTACAAGTTTATGGATAATCTCTAACTTGAAAAGCTAAAAATTTAAACATGGTCTAAGGCGAATAAAAGCAAAGAGAAAAAACTTTGGAATTAATAAAGACTTAAGTAAGCTAGTCTTTAAAAAATGTAGAAAGCTTGTATACTAGCTTGAAATAATATAGATATGTACCATTTTGAGTAATTGCACCTTAATGAAATTATATATTTAGAATACATTTGTTTTACTATTGTACTGTTGAATGTATTTCTTAACCTTATTTTCTGTTTCTGAATAAATGCTTCTAAAACAAAATGTATGCTGAGACTCACTCATGTTATTCAAGCCTGTGCGTGGTCTCTGTCGAGGTACGGTGCTGGTTCCAAGGGAAGCAGCAGTGGCCAGGGCAGGCACAGCCCTTACAGAGCTCAGTCTGGGTCAGACCAGCAACCTAACATGCGGTGTGAACTGGGAAGCCTGCTACTCAGAACCAGCCTGTCAGTCTGCATGTCAGTCTGAATAGTCTGGTAGTTTTTCTGAATTAGCCCATGATAAAAGGCAAATGAATGTTCTTTGGGGCTAGAGAGTGATCTAGTTAACTTTTCTAAAGTCTAAAAGATATGTTCTGGAATATGGCAAATACAAAGATCCTGGAGTCTGAAATGTAAAGTTTGTATACCACATGTTTATTTCATCTTTTTAATTTTTGTTACTTTCATAAAACCAAACAGGTTTCAAGTGTACAATTATACACCATCTGCATGCTATAATTTTATTATGCATCATCTGCATACTGTATTGTGCATGCACTGCCCATTGTCAAGTCTTTCTGCCACCGTGTATCCTCCCTTTGCCCTCTTCCACTTTCATTCTGGCATCACCATTGTACTATTGTTTTGGGGGGGTTTTGCTTAATCCCTTCATGTTTTTTTACCCAGATTCCCCCAAACCTCTTCCCTCTGACAAACTGTGAGTATGTTCTGTGTATCTATGAGTCTGTTTCTATTTTGTTTTATTTTGTTCATTAGATTTCACATATAAGTGAAATCATTTGATATTTTTCTTTCTCTGATTGGCTTCTTTCACTTAGCATAATTCTCTTTAGGTCCATCCATGTTGTTACAAAAGGTAAAATTTCCTTCATTTTTATGGCTGAGTAATTTTCATTGTGTAAATATACCACAGCTTTTTGATCCACTTACCTACTGATGGGCCATTGGGTTGCTTCCAAATCTTGGCTATCATAAATAATGCTGCAGTGAACTTAAGGGTGCATGTATTCCTTTGAATTAACATTTTGAGTTTCTTCGGCTATATTCCCAGAAGTGGAATTGCTGGGTCATGTGGCAGTTCTATCTTTAATTTTTAAAGAAAATTCAACACTGTTTTTCACAATAGCTGCACCAATCTACTTTCCCAGCAACAGTGTGTGAGGGTTCCCTTTCGTCACATCCTCACCAATAGCCATTCTGACAGGCATGAGGTGATATATCATTGTGGTTTTAATTTGCATTTCTCTGATTAGTGATTTTGGGCCACTTTTCATATGTCTTTTGACCATCTGTACAGCCTCTGATAAGCTTCTATTCAGGTACTTTGCGAATTTTTTAATTGGATTATTTGTTTTCTTGGTGTTAAGTTGTATAAGTTCTTTAGACTATAGGCTTTATTTTCAGTGGGATTTCATCTGCATATGATTTGTTAAAGAAAGGCTTACTGCGGTGATCTGTAATAACAGCTTATGGACTGTTACCCAGAGAGCTTTACTGAAATTGTGTTCTCAGTTCACGCTCTAAGTCCTCAGTGAATATTTTGAATTTGAAGAATCTAAGGACAGTATGTTCTTACATCCCAGGAACTTTTGACCTTTCAGCTCACTTATGCTAAGCATGCGGAAGTTTTTTTTCAATATATTTTATTGATTATGCCATTACAGTTGTCCCATTCCCCCAATTCATTCCCCTCCACCCTGCACACCCCCTCCCACCCACATTCCCTCCTTTACTTCATGTCCATGAACTAAAGTGTCTTGATTGGCCCAAGATGGAGTTTATTCTAAGCCCATATCACCAAACTGAAGCTTATTTAAGTTTATATGCTCAGCTCTCCCAGAAAATGTAGGCCCAGGCCAATCTATTAGCAACTGTCTGCTTAGTACAAGTTATCTAACCCAACTCCAATACTTTCCTTTGCTCCATATAAGAAAGTAACCTTGTTTAAACCAATTAGCACTGCCCAGTATAACTTTTTCGTTCCAGCTTACTTTTATCTGTGAAACCCTTTCACTTTGTGCAACTCTTGGAAGCTGCTTTCTATTTTCTACACTCGATGCTTTTCAATTCATGAATTTCTAAATAAAAGCCATTTGGATCAGGAAATTAAGGTCTGAAATTTTCTTTTCAATGAATTGAAATTGAAATATAACAAAATAGTTGGGCATAATTTTTAAAAGACTTTATTTATGTATAGAAAGAGGGGAAGGGAGGGAAAAAGAGAGGGAGAGAAATATCCATCAGTTGCCTCTTGTGAGCCCCCAGCTGGGGACCTGGCCCACAACCCACAACCCTATGCCCTGACCAAGAATCAAACCAGTGACCTTTCAGCTTGAAGGCTGGTGCTCAACCCACTGAACCACACCTAGTTGGGCTAGTTGGGCATAATTTTAACAAAATATATGAAGTACCTGTTCACTAAAATTTACAAATATTACTGAGAAACCAAAGGCCTAAATATATGGGAAGATGTACCATGTTCATGGATTGATACACTAAGAGCACTTCTTCCCTAAATTCATATATAGAATCAATGCAATCCAATCCATTCCCAGCAGGGGTTTTTGGTTTGTTTGTTTAAGAACTTAACAGTCTGATTGTAAGGTTTGTTTGGAAATGCAAAGGACTATAATAGGACAAAACAGTTTATTTTGAAATGAAAGTTTGAAAGAGTTGGGCTAAATGGACAGTAACAAATAGAAGATGGAATTGCTATAAAGATAAGACACAAACATCAGTGGACCAGGATAAAGAACCCAGAAATAGATTCTTGTCTATTAGGATTATAGATAGATTTTTAAAGATACAGTGTGATGATGGGTAGCAGCAGAGGGTGCTTAGACTAGGAGGGTGGGGTAGACTCTGTTCCTTGACCAACTGTCATCTCCAGTCCCCCATTCCTCCCACTGTGGAAGCTGAAAGACAGATTTTGATTTTCTAGCTTCTTTAGCAAAGGGCACCTACTGACCCAGTTTGGTCCAAGGATGTCTAAGGTGACTAGGGCAGGGGCTTCTAGTAAGCCTATTGCTTTCCCAATAAAAAGAGAATTTGCTATACTGCCCAATTATCTTTTTTCTCCTTTTCCTTTTTTAATGGAATAGGATTTCTGCCTGACATGAATGTCCAAATAAAAGATACTTTTTTTAAAAAGCTAAAGATTTTTTTGCACCTAAGTATAATATATTTAAGTGTAATTTTTAGAATATTACAATTTCTCAGAGTACAGGGAATAATTTCTATATTTTCTGTGACCACTGTATTCAGCCCAATGTTCTGTTTCTGTTTAATTTTTACTTGAGTGGATTCTGTGCCAAGAATACAAGCCATTCCAGTCAGAATATACTATCTCTTGATTATAACTGATGGATTCAGGGTTTGAAGGGCCAAAGCTCACAAAATAAAAGAGGACTTAATTTATAGTCCATACGTGGAATCAGGTGTTAGTCTAGTAACATTTGGTTTTTGGTAAGAATTATTTTCTGATATTCCCATGTTCTCTGATGTAGCTGTATAGTCATATTTTCTTCTCTGTTCTTGTTCCAACCTAGAACCTAGAGAATAATGACAAATGTTTACAAAGATGCCAGATGTGTTAAGATATAGACTCATTCAATATGCCAGGTTCTATATTCCTTTTCACCACTCTTAGAGCATCTATCTTTATATCCTATTTAACTGAAGCCATAACTACCCAAAATTTCTTATTCCATTTTACTCACCATATTTTGTTGTCCATCTCTACAAAAGGCTCTGTGGGACTTGGGTTTCAAGTTTGATCTATTACTAATTAGCTGTGCAATTTGGAGTAAGTTACTTACCTTGCAAGTCTCAGTGTCCTCAGTGAGAATTAAGTGTAGTGGTGTATATGAAAAGGACCTATTATTTAGTTTGGCATTTAGTTAGAAGCCTGTTCTCTCTAGAGCTAAAATTTCCAAATGTCAATCGGATGTTGTGCTTTTTGAAGAGGTGACACATTCTCTCTTCAATGCTAGCACCTTCAGTGTATCACCTTCCGCTGACTTCAGCTATAATGCAAACCCTCACTACTTAACTTGCTCTTGTGCTCCTTCAATTATCACACTATATCTTTCCATTGTTTTGCAGTACAGGCAGACCTCGTTTTCTCACACTTCACTTTACTGTGCTTCACAGATGCTTTTTTTTCCTAATGGAAGTCAAAACTACCCACCAGCAAAAACATTATGAATCACTTTATTGCAATACTTTATTGAGGTGGTTGGGAATGAAACCTGCCATATCTCCAAAGGTGTATGCCTATGATCGCTTTTAACTCAGTACTTTATATCCTATGCTTGCATCTTTGCACTTGTCATTCCTTTATATTGTTTTACCTGTCATTGCAAACTTAATATATGCTACACATTGGGGATTCAGTAGTGAACAGGACAGACAACTCCCTGCTCTTAAGTGGAGGTAGTTACCTAAAACTGTTCTGTAGAAGGCCATCAACTCCACTGAACCCTCAAGTTGAAAATGCGGAGTATTTGAGGAACAGGTAAGAGTTCAGTGATGGCGGGGTTGTGAGTGGGGGAGAGTGGACATGATAAGGGTAGAAAGCTGTCCTGAAGTCAAGATTTTATTCTAGGCACAGTGGAAAACTTTGAGGGGCAGCAGAAGCAGTCATTGTTAAGCACTTAGGTTCTGGAGCTAGGCTGACTGAATTCAAATCTTGGGCCTCACAGTAAGTGCCTGTGAGACCTTGAGCAAATAGCCCATCTCTTTGCTTCCTCATCTGTAAAATGCAGATAACAGAACCTGACTCAAATGAGTTACTATTTATTTTAAAGCACTTAAGATAGCACTTCTGCATGGTAATTGCTAAAGAGGAGTTTAAGTATTCTAACTGCATTGATTTAAATTAGTGAAAGATCGCTATGTGTTGTATGGGGAATGGGCTGGAGGAGCATCAGTTTGGAGGCTGTGGCAGCCTGGACTGTGGTAGCAATGAGCTGGACCCATGTGGATAGGTTCCAGCTAGTGATAGTTAACATTTTATACAGTATGAATTGTGTACCAGGGACTAGCCTAAGCTGTTTACACCTTTTACCTCTTAGTACTATTAGTACAAAACTTAGGAGCTTGGTACTATTGTTATTCTCACTTTACAGAGGAGGACACTGAGCTAGTAACCTGCCCAAGATCACACAGCCAGTAAATAAATAGTAGCGCCAACAATCAAAACCAGGCGGTCTGAATCTACACTCCACAACGTAACCTCTCTGCTTTACTGCCTCTCACGGATGATGGCAGGACAGAACTCATACACTCAGATTATACAGTCACCATAATCAGATTCTGGCTATGTTAGAGTTACTGATAGTTCTGGGATATGATGATCTGCTGCTTTAACATGCCATCATTTTCAGTTTCTCAGGATCTCAGTATTGTGGATCATGGGAGGGACAAGAGTGGCATAGAATTTTTAAAATATTTTTAACATTTTGAGGCATTTATTTAGCCAAGTGAAGTTTGCTCAAAATTATTTGCTAAAAATAATTTTCAGCAATTTAGAAGTTTGCTAAAAATTATTACTGAAACCATAAGATGCAACTTTTAAAGAAAAGGATTCATTAAATTTTTAAAAATTCAACCCTATATAAAATTTAAAAATTCTATTTCCAAATAACAGTCTTACCTAGAAGGCAGAGATTTTCAACCTTTTTCATCTAATGGCACACAAACTAATTACTAAAATTCTGAGACACATTAAAAATTTTTTTGCTGATCTGATGAAAACTAGGTATAATTTTTATTCATTCATACTGGACAACTATTGTGTTGGCTGTTGTCATTTTTTTATTTGACAGTCTAAGGGAAAAGAGGTCTGTGCCCCTGAATGAATAGTCAGATATCGCATGTTTTAAAACTTCTTGTGGCACACCGGTTTGAATCACTGCTATAACATAAGAATCACTTGGCAAAGTTTATGTCTATATACTTTGCAGGGTACTAAAATGTTAGGTGCTAAGAAATGTGTCCATGTGTAGAATGTATCATATTTGTTCACAAGAATTTCCCATAAAGTATTGGTAAAAAATCACCTACTTGTGAAGTTAGCTGAAGAGTTGCTTGTAGCAATTTCCTTCCAGTTGGCAATATACCTAAGCACATCATATAGACACTCATTACATTAAGTTAAACTGGTTTGTTAGTAAGTAATGAATTAATTCATTAGTACATGTATAGGCTACTTCTACAATTCCACTTTCTCTATGAAATCTTATATTAATGGCAACAAATTCTCTAGTCCAATGTTTAATTTTCATTACTTTCCCACCTCTGCGTAGCTCTCATGCGTACAAAACAAACTCTAGGACAAGGAGTTCAACGATGTATAAAAATTGTGCTCACATCTACCATGTTAGTGCCCTTTGGTCTTCCTCAGCACACCTTTCCTCATCTTACCCTGTTCTATTCCTTCCAGATAATGTCCTCAGTTGAATGCTGACTAAGATGTTAGTTAACTTCTAAATTAAAAGTATGGACAGAAAACTCAGGGGGAAAAAGGGGGTAAACAATTATGACAAATTTTCTTCTCGGTTCCAGATTGCCACACCCATCTCTGACATGTTAACAGAAATTTAAAGCATGTGGTTTATGATCTTAGTAGAGCTATGGTGCTACCTTTGCAGAGTGCAGTCAACATGAGAGATTGCATCCAAGTAGGACAAATGCAGCTGCCACCTTAGTTTCCCAAACAGAGACTGAAATAGGGACACCAGGGTAGCCTGAGAAGAGGTAGAATAATAGGGAAGAACAAGGTGTGATGAGCTATGAGGACAAAGGCATGCTCCAAGAGGCAGGTTTCCTGTAACTTATTCCATTTCATTTGAGGCTCTGTGTGTCCTCTTTCCCAAGCCTTGCTTCTTCCACTTGCACCCAAGAAGTCAGGTAAGGAATTGGTCAGGGCAGGTGCTGAAAGGGAGCTGAGGAGGACTAAAATTGTCGTGTAAAAAATGATTTTCTAAGAACTCATTTATTCCATTGAATTACTCTGGTTAACTTAGTGTTCCTAAAGGGGTTTTTTTGTTTGTTTGTTTTTTGGTTTAGGAAGGTATATGTTATCCAACGATATTTAAATATTTAAAGTACTGTGTCTATAGTTGGGTTTTTTTGTTACTCCTACTTCTTATTCCAAAAACTGTATTTTATTACCTTAAATAAGATATTACTGGGTCACTGCTAAAACATGCAGGATGAGAGCAGGCAGTGTAAACCCTTTCCCAGGATCTCTTAGTAGACAGTGCAATCTGGACTGACTGTAAATCTAGGCAGACTTTCAGTGGTTGTTCAGGATCACTATGAAGACTTGCATGTCTATCATCCTGCTTCCTTGGATCTATATACTCAAAGGTTTGCATTCCACCTTCAAGAACACCTTGATTTACATATTTTATGTATATGCTGAAAGATTTTCATTCTACTTTCAAGGACATCTGACAGCCTGGAGTATAAAAATATGCCATACTTAATTAAGGCTGATCACTGACCCAGCTCTATCTGATACTAGGACAATTATTTTAAAAGAACTCATAAAAGACATACCAACAGTAACTGATAAAAATATCTAAGTTTTACAAATGAAAGAAACAGTCTGATAGCACTACTATACTGCTCATGTCATAGAACTAATTTGTCTTTCTCACTAAGAAGATTTTGTAATTTTAAGATAATAATTGCAGAATAGTATGATAAATCTATAATAAATTTCTCAGGATTACAAATGTAACATTCTGATTATCTGGGAACGTGCCCAGCCTGAGAAGCCACTTAACTACGTGTCCTAGAAATCAAAGGAACAGCTTCAGCTATAGAAACTACATAGGCAAAGATCTCATAGCAACACAATCAATAGACTATATTAGGAAATTATTTAAGATATCCCAGCTGCTGATCACTTAACAAGTTATTTCTAAATTCACTTGCAGTTTGAAAATTATGAAGATTCTGTAAGAGGAACATCTTACAGAGAATATGCCCCTAAAAATCCAACAAGATCAATGACAGCAGTGGTCACACAGCACTGTGGGTGACTCAGTGATGCTGATGCAGGTTGCTTTATATTCTAAGTTCCTGCAGCAATGTATCTCTCAATACTGCAGAATTTATGACAGTATTCATCAGTGTCTTTAAGGACAAGAGTGAAGTTGGCTGTATCCATTCTTCTCCCCAGGAGAACAGCCAACTGTCACAGCAAGGGACTAACACAAAAGCTGTTGGGGGAAAACCTGGTTTGTATCAGTGTCAACACATTAATGCTGTTCTGTTGGTCTGACTATTGAAAACTGTCCACAGATTTTGAAGGATACTCTACAAAGAATTAGTGGTCACCAATTCTTCTGAAGAAAAATGTCAGACTCTGAAATTCTCATCAGACAAGGTGGCATCAATCCAGTTACAAACACGTACTGGAAAGACTGTGGAAACCACAAATGCACTGAGAAGAAGGTGCTTGCTTATACCCAAGGTCTGCAGTCAGCTGGGGAAGATCTTTGCAGTTTAATCTTACCTGAGATAATCAGTAGCTTGGGATTAGTAATGCTACTAAAATACTTCCAAATAATCACGCTGAATTCTATTTGAAATGTTTGTTATCCGGGGCCTAAGTGAGAGAATGAACTAATAGATATCGTACATAATTTGGAAACATGAGGTATCTCCATTTTAAAAACTGGAAAATGTCAGTTAATCCTACCAGGCCAAACCTAGGTGTATCCATCCAACCCCACATAAGTATATGCTGCCACTTCAAGTCTTAATGGTTTATTGTTTTTATCCTTTCTTCCACAAATTTAATCCCCTACAAGAGAAGGGTATGGCAGATGACAGTAGACTGACATGTCTGTTTATTTCCTCCCTTTAAACTTAGTTGTATTGTTCTCATTGTATTCCAGTAGTGATGAAATACAGGATATTGGGTGTCATTTTTTATTAATATTTGACTAAAGTGGGCTGGTCCTTTGCTTGAATTAGTCAACTATATAAGGGAAAGGTAAATCAGGATTTCAAACACTCACTTGAGAAAATTCTCTATCCTGCTTTCAGAAGCTCATTCAAAATGAACCTCACCAACCTCTCCCTTTTTTTCTCCATTCTTTACCCAGAATTTTTACTCTTGGGAAAACAAGTAGAAGTACAGCATTACACAAAGTATATAATTTTCTAACCACTAATCTGTATACCTGAAAGTAATGCAAAATATTGAATGTAAAAAATATATATACTTATAATTTTTAAAAAGGTACTCCATTACAGTGTATTTTTAAAAAAACATATTTGATTATATTATTACAGTTGTCCCATTCCCTCCCTTCATTCCCCTCCTCCCTGCACACCCCCTCCCACCCACATCCCCACTCTTTAGTTCATGTCCATGTGTCTTAAGTTCTTTAGCTTCTACATTTCCCACACTCCTCTTGCCTTCCCTGTCTATTTTCTCCCCACCAACTATGCTACTTATTCTCTGTACCTTCTCCCCCCTTCTCCTCCTCCCACTCCCCTGTTGCTAACCCTCCATGTGATCTCCATTTCTATGGTTCTGCTCCTGTACTAGCTGTCCTCTTAGTTTGCTTTTGTTTTAGGTGTGGTTGTTAATAACTGTGAGTTTGCTGTCCTTTCACTGTTCATCTTTTTTATCTTCTTTTTCTTAGGTAAGTCCCTTTAACATTTCATATAATAAGGGCTTGGTGATGATGAACACCTTGAATTTGACCTTATCAGAAAAGCACTTTATCTGCCCTTCCATTCTAAATGAAAGCTTTGTTGGATAGAGCAATCTTGGTTGTAGGTCTTTAGATTTCATGACTTGGAATACCTCTTTCCAGCCCCTTCTTGCCTGTAAGGTCTCTTTTGAGAAATCAGCTGACAGTCTGATGGGGACTCCTTTGTAGGTGACTGTCCCCTTATCTCTTGCTGCTTCTAGAATTCTCTCCTTCATTTTAATCTTGGGTAATGTAATTATGATGTGCCTTGGTGTGTTCCTTCTTGGGTCCACCTTCTTTGGGACTCTCTGAGCTTCCTGGACTTCCTGGAAGTCTATTGCCTTTGCCAGATTAGTTTTCCACTTGTTGCTCTTCCTCTTCCCCTTCTGGTACCCCTATAATTTGGATGCTGGAACATTTAAAGATGTCCTGGAGGCTCCTAAGCCTCTCCTCATTTTTTTTGAATTCTTTTTTCTTCATTCTTTTCTGTTTGGTTGTTTCTTTCTTCCTTCTGGTCCACTCCATTGATTTGAGTCCCAGTTTTCTCCCCATCACTATTGGTTCCCAGTGCATTTTCCTTCATTTCACTTAGCATAGCCTTCATTTGTTCATCTAATTAGTGATCAAAATCAACCAGTTCTGTGAGCATCCTGATTACCAGTGCTTTGAACTGTGCATCTGATAGGCTGGCTTTCTTTTGGTTGCTTAGATGTGTTGGCTCTGGGGCTTTGCTCTGTTCTTCTGTTTGAGCCACTTTTTTTTGGTCTGGTCACACCAGTTATGTAGTGAGGGGCAGAGCCTTAGGTGTTCACCAGGGCATGGTAACACATTTGCTGGGTTGTAATGCTGTATGTAAGGATGAGGTTCAAGAGGGAACAATGTGCTTGCTCCACTCTGTTGGATTTCAGTCCCTTCCCCCACTTCCCCCAACCAAACTGAGCCCTTCTGGTGCTGACTCCCATGTGGGTGGGCTTGTGTATGTTCTAGGACCCTGTGCGTCTCTCCAACGAACTCTCCTGTGAGGCTGGGAGTCTTTCCCTACGCCTCAACCCCCACAGATGTTTTCAATCGGTGTTTTAAGGCTTTATTTTCTGGCACTGGGACTCTGGGTTGTGCTGTCTGTCTCACTCCCCAGTTTCGCCTGGTTTATCTGCATGCAGATGTGGGACCATGGCCCAGTCAGCCAGCTGCCTTGAGCACAGTGCCTCGCCTCATAATTGCTGCCTCTGCCCATTGCCACCCCACGCCCAGGGTCTGCCCACTGCCGTCTTGCACACCCGGGTGCCTTGTGCACCCAGTGCCACTGCTTTTTGTGCTACAACCCCTCTCTGCTTGGCTGCCTGACTCCAATCGGTCTGGATTGAATGTGTCTATTTTAACTTCTTGGTTGTCCAACTTCCATACAGTTCAATTTTCTGTCAGTTGTTATTTTGTTTCTAAATTGTTGTCCTTATTTTGGTTGTGCAAGGAGGCACAGTGTGTCTACATACACCTCCATCTTGGCTGGAAGTACAGTGCATTTTTTTGAATGTCATTTTCTGTATCATTACTACTATCTGTATTTATTTAGTGTCCCCCAAAATCACAGACATTCTGTCTATAGAGAATCCAAATACAATGGTCAGGACAAGATATTGGGTTAAAGAATCTTAACAATCTCTTTTTACTACTTACTTATTGCAAAATATTTTACAGCATCTATGTACAATGCATAATTAGTTATTTATTTTTGTATTTCCCTTTTTATTTTCTAATATATCTTTCCCATCAATATCTTATTTTTTCTTGTTTTTTTTAAGTCATTCTTTTTACTTTCCTGTCTTTTCTCATTATTCTTTTCTGATTCATTCCCCTTGGATGCTCTTCTTCATGTTCTATTGTTCAATGACATGTTGATTTTTCCTATCCCATATTCATATCTCTCTTCCTGATTTCTTCCTTTTTCTTATGTTTTTTTACTTACACTATCTTCATTTTAATTTTTCTGCCTTTTCATCCACACAATAGTCACATTCATTATTGTAGCTGGTAAGTATTTAATATATTTAAACGCTGTTTGAGATATAATTCACTACCATACCATCCACTCATTTAAAGTGTATAATTCATGACTTTTTGTGTACTCACAGAGTTGTGTATCCATCATTATCAATTTTAGAACATTTTTATTTAAAAAAAAAACTGTACCATTTAGCCTCACCTCCTAACCCTCATAAGTCTTCCAATCCTAGGCAACCATTAATCTAATTCCTGTCTCTATAGATTTGCCTTTCTGGACATTTCATATAAATGGAATCATAATATGTGGTCTTTTTTTTATTGGGTTCTTTCACTTAGTAGAATCATCAATATTGTAACATGCATCAGCATTATTTTTTTACTGCAGAATAATATTCCATTCTATAAATATACCACATTTTTATTTATCCATTCATCAGTTGATGAATATTGGGGTCATTTCTACTTTATATTATGAATAATGCTGCTATGAACATTTATGTACAAGTTTTTGCATGGACGTGTTTTTTCATTTCTCTTGTGCATCCATACTGAGGAATGGAATTGTTTAATCATATGGCAACTTCATGTTTAACCACTTGAGAAACTGCCAGATTATTTTTTAAAATGCCTGCACCATTGTACATTTCCACTGACAGTATATAATGGTTCCAATTCCTCTACTTCCTTGTCTTCCTAATTATAGCCATCCTAGTTTGTCTGAAGTCAGACCTCATTGTGGTTTTAACTTGAATTTCCCTGATGGTTATATTAAATATTTTTAAATTTCCATCATATACATACACAAAAATTCTAAAAATGTTGTCCAAGGGCTATAGTATGCCACTAAAAATTATAACTTTTTAATGCCTCATGGGAAGATTAGGGTCTATAAGTTAACAAAATTCTTTGTTTTATTTATTTCATGTTCTTAGCTTTGTCTCTAAATCTCAAAGTAAGAAATAAAGCAGATTTAGGCTAAGGCATAAGTATGAAGTCTGACAATAAAGAACACCTCTCTAATTTTCTTTTTTCTACTTTTAGATCATCCCTCTTATATCTTTCTCCCTCATTTCCTCTTTTTTCTTTCTAGACAAGTATACATACTTGTTTTCTGGGGAGGAGTGGAGATTATGTTTGTGACTCCTACATTCAACATGGACGGGAATGAGAAATATTACAAAGAAGAATATATGATGCCTGCCCTTGCTCCCCAAGAACAGTAAAATGTATTTACTCATCAAAGTTCAGTGTATTTGTCCAGTTCAGCACTTCATCCACTTCCCATTCCATCACAGAATCTATCCCACCATCTTCAATAGATCTTATTAGCCCTTTCGTTGCTGTGTGAATTAAACCTAGAGTTTCACTATTTGTTGACTTAGCCTCCAGGCTTCCCGCGTAGTACCTAAATATAGGAAAGAAAGAGAGACATAAATCCTCTGGAACATGTGATTCCTAGTAGATGCAGTTACAGTATATTATTGTTATTAATAATACTATTTAAATATACAGCAAGTTTTTATCCTACTTAATACAAATATCTCTAAACCAAGTTCTATGCAATGGGGTCTTTTGGAAAAACAAAGCAACTTAAGCAAGCACATTAATTGGAGAGAAGCTTCATTTCAAGATTCCCACTCAGCAAGTTGGATTTTTATGATACAAAGAAAAACTAAATTATATCACCAAATCATTGAATTATAGAATGAGAGAGCCTTGGAGACCAAATACTGGCCTACTTGTTTTATAGATAAAGAAATTCTGGAAGAGTTGAGTAACTTTTAGAAGGCCATGCAGCTGATGACAAATACGAAGAAAGAAGGAAAGAGATAGGAAAAAATAAATGGAAGAAAGATATTGAATTTTTTTGTGTGCCAGGCACTTTTCATACATCATTTTAATTGTCTTTAAAACCACACAGCCATATGTGACAACTATTTCTATTCCCATTTTATGGATGAGAAATTTGAGACTTAGAGAAATTAAGAAATTGTTTGAGATCATGAATGCAGTAAATATATATCAGAGCCAGCATTCAAACCTGATTGTAAGTGCAGACTTCTGTAGCACTATTCTCTTACATTCATCTGAGAACATAAATTAATGCATCCACCAAACATAAGCTGAGTGAGTAGACAGAAGCTGTGCTCACCAAGAATAGTAAAATATAGCATTTTTTGTTTTTTACTTTAAGATCTACATTGGTGTTCTATTTTGAAGGTTAACCTATTCTGACACTATTTAATTTGACACTCACTTATTAGTAAGTGGCATGGTGGAGGTGTACAGCTAGAATGTGGTATTGAACTATCTGACTCTGAATGTTGCTTCTGTGATTTATTAGCTGTATAATCTTTGGCAAATAATCTAGCCTTTCTGGGACTTAGTCTCCTCTTCCTTTAAGTGATAATTATTATACTGCCTCCTGCTAAATCCTTAAGAAATTTAGAAGTATAAATACAATTAAAGCATTTACAACTACTGGCACATGGTAATTCACTGAAAGAAAGCTTCCATAACCCTGGATGGCAAAAAATGTGACAGTGACAAGATGTTTCCCTGCTCTCATCAAGTTTTTGCTTTGTCAGACTTTAAATGGATAATGATCCATGTGAGCCAATGAATTATTTAGAAGCAGGAACATGCCTCTTGATGTATACTGCTTAGTAAGTGCACAAATGATAAGAAAGTATGATTTCACAATTTTTCTTTTTTTTTTCCTCAGTTCAAGTTTAATAGAACTACAGAAAAGGTATTGCCCCACTACTGTACATGTCTGTTGGTGTGCTCCATAAGTTCAGGCCATTTCCTCCAGAAAAAGAAAGGCTGGCCTAAATCAAAGATCTTGTGTTTTTCTTTTTATTAAGCCAGCATTATCCTAATTCCAAAACCAGATAAAGACACAACAAAGAAAGAAAACTTCAGGCCAATATTGCTGATGAACATAGACGCTAAAATCCTCAAAAAAATATTGGCAAATCGCATCCATTAAAAAGATCATACACCATGATTCATTCCAGGGATGCAAGGATGGTTCAATATTTGCAAATCAGTAAATATAATACATCACATAAACAAAAGCAAAGACAAAAATCACATGATCATATCAATAGATGCGGAAAAAGCTTTTGATAAGGTACAACACCTATTCATGATAAAAAAAAACACTCAGCAAAGTGGGAATAAAGGGAGCATTCCTTGACATAATAAAGGTCATATATGAGAGACCTACAGCCAACATCATACTTAATGGGCAAAAACTAAAATCCTTTCCACTAAGATCAGGAACAAGACAAGGTTGTTGTCCACTTACACCACTTCTATTCAACATGGTATTGGAAGTTTTAGCCACAGTGATCAGACAAGAAAAGGAGATAAAAGGCATCCAAATCAGAAAGGAGGAAATAAAACTGTCATTGTTTGCAGATAACATGATAGTGTACATGGAAAATCCTATAGACTCTACCCCAAAACTTCTCGAACTAATTAATGAATTTGGCAAAACAGCAGGTTACAAAGTCAATATCTGGAAATCAAAGGCATTTTTCTCTGGTTCGCAGACCTGTGCTTTAATCCACTGAGCTATACCAGCCAGGGCCTCAAAGACATTTTTGTATACCAACAATGAATCAGCAGAAGCAGAAATCAAGGAAAAAATTCCATTCGATATAGCAAAAACAAAAATAAAATATCTGGGAATAAACCTAACTAAGGAGGTAAAAGACCTGTATGCAGAAAACTACACAGCACTGAAGAAAGAAATCAGGGAAGACACAAACAAATGGAAACATATACCTTGTTCATGGATTGGAAGAATTAACATCATCAAAATGTCCATACTACCCAAGGCAATATACAGATTCAATTGCAATACCTATTAAAGTACCAATGGCATATTTCAAAGACATAGAACAAACACTTCAAAAATTTATATGGAACCATAAATGACCTCGAGTAGCAGCTGCAATTTTGAGAAAGAACAAAGTAGGAGGGATCACAATACCCAATACCAAACTGTATTACAAGGCCACTGTAATCAAAACAACCTGGTACTGGCATAAAAACAGGCACATAGACCAATGGAACAGAACAGAGAGCCCAGAAATCAACCCAAGTCTCTACAGGCAACTAATATTTAACAAAGGGGGCAGTAACATAAAATGGAGTAAAAAATAGCCTCTTTAACAAATGGTGTTGGGAGAACTGGACAGCTACATGCAAAAAAATGAAACGAGCACCAACTTACACCATACACCAAAATAAATTCAAGATGGATAAAAGACTTAAATATAAGCTGTGACACCATTAAAGTCCTAGAGGAGAACATTGGCAGGAAAATCTCAGATATTTCACGCAGCAACATTTTTACTGTTATGTCCCCTAGAGTAAGGGACATAAAGGAAAGAATAAACAAATGGGACCTCATCAAAATAAAAAGCTTCTGCATGGCTAAAGAAAACAGTATTAAGATAAAAAGAGAACCAACTATTTGGGAAAACATATTTGCCAATGATACCTCAGACAAGGGTTTAATCTTCAAAATATTCAAAGAACTTACATGACTGTACTCTAAGAAGACAATCAACCCAATTAAAAAATGGGCAAAGGACTTGAACCGATAATTCTCCAAGGAGGACACACAGAGGATCCAGAGATACATGAAAAGATGCTCAATATCACTAGCTATCAGACAGATGCAAATTAAAACTACAATGAGATACCACTTTACACAGGTCAGAATGGCCACCATAAACAAATCAACAAACAACTGTTGGAGAGGATACAGAGAAAGGGGAACCCTAGTGCACTGTCGTTGGGAATACAGACTGGTGCAGCCACTGTGGAAAACAGTATGGAATTTCCTCAGAAATCTAAAAATGGAACTGCCTTTTGACCCAAGAATTCCACTGCTGGGATTATACCCTAAGAGCCCTGAAACACGAATCCAAAAGAACCTATATACCCCAATGTTCATAGCAGCACAATTTACAATAGCCAAGTGCTGGAAGAAACCTAAGTGCTCATCAACAAATGAGTGGATCAAAAAACTATGGTACATTTACACAATGGAATTCTATGCAGCAGAAAGAAAGAAGGAGCTCCTACCCTTTGCAACAGCATGGATGGAACTGGAAAGCATTATGCTGAGTGAAATAAGCCAGGTGGTAAAAGACAAATACCATATGATCTCACCTTTAACAGGAACCTAATCAACAAAACAAACAAGCAAGCAAAATACAACCAAAGACACTGAAATACAGAACAGGCTGACAGGGACCAGAGGGGCAAGAGGAGAGAATTTCAGGGGAAAAGGGGAAGGATTCACAGGAACAAGTATAAAGGACACATGGACAAAAACTAAGGCGGGGGGTGGGAAATGGGAGGGAGGTGGGAGCACTGGAGGGGGTGGGCTGGGGTGGGAGTAAAAGACAGAAAACTGTACTTGAACAATAATAAAATAAAATAACTGTAACATACCAGAAAGAAAAAAAATATCTTGTGTTTTAAGCATGACAATACTATAAGAGAGGTTTTGTTCTCATGGCTGTACACTGCCACCATGACCCTATAATGTCCCCAGTGCTCACTTCTGGTTAGAGAAATATTCTTTGCTCTTCTGGACATCAGGCTTGATGGCATCACTGCCAGGTCTCCAGCCAGCTGGGCACACTTCCCCATGTTTGTCAGTGAAAGCCTTAACTAGTCTCAGAGTTTCATCCAACAAGTGGCAAACAGGAAGGTCATTTACAGTGATCTGTGGAAGGATACCTTCTCTGTCAATGATAAAGAGGCCCCTCAATGAGATGCCCTCATCAGCCTTTAAGACCTCATAGTCTGAGCAATGGTGCGCTTGGGATCTGACACCAAGGGAATGTTCACGGGTCCCAGTCCTTGTTTCCTGGGTGTGTTGATCCATGCCAGGTGACAGAAGCACCACTCCACAGAAGCACCCATCACTTGGCAGTTGAGTTTCTTAAATTCTTCCACCCTATCACTGAAAGCAATGATATCCGTGGGGCTAACAAAGGTAAAGTCAAGAGGGTAAAAGAAGAACACCGCATATTCTCCTCTGTAGTCAGATAGGCTGGTATCTTTGAATTGACCATCCGGCATTAACAGCTGTAGCTTTGAAGTTGGGGATAGGGTGCCCAATGTTAGCATTTTCTGAAGACATCTTGCTATCAGCGGCTCTGAGACACAAATACCAAAAGAAGCAGGTCAGGAGGAAGAATCAGGAAGCCCCCGATTTTACAATTTTTCTAGAGTTCTTCATTCACTTATTCATTTAATAGACATTTACTTCAGTGTCCAATCTTTGCAAAGCAATCTGTACAGTGGTGAAATGCCTTCATGGAACTTGCAGTCTTCCCCATCTCTACTCTCCTCCCTAAACAACGGGCAGTT